TGTCCTTCTGATTGCTCTTTTCTCTTTCTACTCATTATTAATATTTCTTTTCCTAATTCTTCCACACCCTGTAACCCCTTGTATGCTAGTGGCTGTACTGCCTTGCTTGGGGTGATACCAAGCTTATTTCTACTTATACTCTTTTCCTGTTACCCATGGGTGGTTGCCATATAGAAAGGGACACATGTTTATTTCATTTTCATTCAAATTGTGCATGTATGTACTTTTGTGTCTTTGCAAGCATGTTCTAATTCAGTGACAGACCTAAAAATATCGGTACAAAACGTTTTAAAATATTCAAAAAATAATTTTATTTGTTATTAATTTCTTAAAACAATAAGATCATATAACAATCTTTTTTTTTTTTTTTTTTTTTTTTTTTTTTTAGGGGTTCAAAAATACATTTATTAGAAAATTTTGTCTCCAACTTTGATTTTATTGCTCAACCCCCAGGAGTTGTCCAGACTCAGTAGAAGTGGGCAGTGGTCTTATTCTTATGCCTAAATCTTTCTTTGTAACAGCAATGACACAATAGTGTCATTCTGAAACTGAGTTCCAGCAGTTAATTTATTTTAGTCTGTCTGAAATTCAGGGTCTTCTTCTAATTCTTGACAACCTGTATAAATTTGATAATGATATCAATCTTGATGCAGATTTGGAATGAAACACCGTGAAGAATGAATTTAAATCAATTGCTCTTGTGAGTAAGTCATTGATTTCTTGCCTGAATGATACTTATTGATGTGATATCCGGGTTTCAATTATGCTCATCTGATAGTGCATACAAGTCACTTGGTAATCTGAATGTATGAATTTAATAATGTATCTGTGTATTGAGTTTATCTTTTGTGGATAGTGTTGAGGTGTTGTGTTCATTTTATAATCTTAAGGCTAACAATTTTACTCATCAAGGGAGTGTGGTCATTTTTATCTTCTATCATGCACACTTCTTCCGTATTGTAACAACAGTACTGATTATTAAGTGTAAGGTTACTCGCATCATGGCTGACAAGACATACTTTACTGCTTTTTTTGTATGGAGTCAGTCAACTTTGTTTCTATTGAAAGGAAACATAGGTGGCTGTCGTATTCATTGCCATGTTTTTTGTTCAATAAAACCTAACAGGTAAACTTGTGTTATGTATTTACATATTTCCTGCTATAATTTTAAGACTAGTCCTTATCATTCCAAGAATTGTTCAGGATGCTTGTCATGATTTCTTTTCTATTCCAAAATGTTTTCAGCAAAAAGAGACCATTCTCTTTCCTTAGGGATTGGACATCTTCCAGTGTAGAATTGATCAACAGAAACATTTGTAACGATAAAACAAAATAAAGAGGGTATTTAATAGGCTTACTAGATATTATTTATAAGCATTTAATAGTCAATAATTTTATTTATATAAATATGATTTATTTTATTTATATAAAAATACGATTTAGTTAATATTATTTATATGCATTTAATAATCTTATTGGATATTATCTGAACTTTTCTTATAACTGAAAACCGTGATATATACTTTGCATTTTATAAGTAATAAGTAGGCATCTGTTTGTTTCATGAGAATTCAGTCCTTTGGTGGCGAAACTGGAGTGACCTTTCCAGGACGCAGACCAGAATGATGATATATGGATGCCATGCTCTGACAAGCTTACGTATCCCCTCTCTAGATGATACCAACAAGATCCAAAGGAATATAGGGCATTACATTACTTTGCTGAAAGAGTTGTGGAAAGTTGTCAGTGTTGACAGCCAACTGCCTTCAGGACTCCATTCCAGGTTTTTTTGTCTGGATTTAATTCCATAGCCTTTTCTGTGTTTGGATGCAATTGGAAGGAGCATTGGTTTAAAATAAAGACATTCCTTCCCCTTGATGACTGCATTCCTAGGCTGTTGAGCTCCATATACATGAAGCAACTGGTTATGAGGCACCATATATGTATATATAAAGGAAAAAGACGATAGGAAAACTGTTGTTTTGGATGAAACATGTCAGCTAACAGCAACAGTTTTCCTATTATGTTTTTCCTTAATACATATTGCCTTTTACTACAGGTTAATTCTGTGAAATCTTTACATATATAGTGTGTTTATAAATCATACTAATCATATTTGATATCACTATATTTTAATATGTATGATTATAGATGTTTTTCCATATATAAAAATTATGTAATTGGAATGAGAAAGTGTAAAAGTTCTATGTAACACATTTCATCCTCTAAAAGAACTTCATTGGACTGAAGTAATGTATGTAAATATCTCTAAAGAAGAGGGAGACATAAATATACCTCTTGGTTATAATTAGGCACCGAATAGATTTGCTTCAGTCAGATGAAGCCCCTTGTAGGGGATAAAAACACATTCAGTAGAATTTTTCCAGTTCAGCATTTAATTACCTAGCATTGAGAGAGAGAGAGAATATATATGATTTGTAAAACTTATTTTGAGATGTTACACCACTCACTTAGAATCATCAGAAAGACTGATTTGTGAAACCTTTCAGTTTTACAAATTGTCTTATACACTTACCATTCCATCAGATTCTCAACCAAATTTATATATATATATATATATATATATATACACACACACTTTCAGAGTGAAAATGAGAAAGTATGTTATGTGTCTGCGTGTGTATGCAATGTGTATATTTTTGCCTGTACCCTTTTGTTATACCATAATTATTTTTCATGCACTGTTGACACCAGGTGGCAGTGTTTTTTTAACAATGGATAACTGTTCAAGGGTGAATTAAAACAATGATTATTGGCAAATATATTTAAAGACTCAAATGTGAAAACATAATGATACTAACCACTTAATAAATATTAATTTTAGATATGCCATCATTTTGATAGCATGGATTAAGTAGTGTGTGTGTGTGTGTGTGTGTGTGTGTATATATATATATATATATATATATATATATATATATATATATATATATATATATATATATATACATACATGTGTGTGTTACACCATGAAAATAATGAATAAAAACTTCTAATTCTCAAGGCCCTCTATATGAAAAATAGCCAATCAACACTTAACAAAGTTTATTACGAATGTAGTAGCAATATGTTGAAGTACATTTAATCCCATTTTGCATTTCCACCAATTTCTGATTAGCTCCCTCATATTAGGATGCTTGTTTTGCAAAAAAAATCCATAGCTATAATGGATAATTTTAAATCATAATGGGGTGCATTCACGCATGTTTTTAAAAATCATTATCACAACGGTCACAGTTACAATAAGTTTGTCTTTGTAATTCACCCCAGAGGATGATCGAAGCTAGGAAAAAAACTACAGTGCCTTCCTTGATGAATTTCATCTTAACATCAAGAAACTGATTAGAGAATTCTAAAGGATTATTATAAAAATAGACATCATAATATGTCTATATTATTCAATGAAACATGTTTCAAAGAAGATATGCTACCTATATATATATATATATATATATATATATATATATATATATATATATATGTGTGTGTATTTATTCATATGGGCACAAGCATACATGTACATATATAGTGTTACTTTAATAACCAAATTAAAAACAGTGTCACTTTACCAGTGCTGTTTATTATCTTGTATGCACAAATAAAAAGAAAAGAAAATTCCTTTAGGTTCAAGATCATATTTCAGCTTAAATTGCTTTGGTTGCTTCCTCTCCCCCATAACTAATTTCGACAATGTTTCTATCTAGTGACCAATCAACCCAGATTCGGTGTTCTGCTTGTCAACTCTACTACACGAGTTGGTTATTTGACCAGTTAAGCTCAGTCCAACGTGACTAGACATGTCTATGTCAACTCCAGTCTATCAACCTCTCTTGTTTATGTGCAAACTGGATTAATTGCCTACTTTACTGGCTAAAGGTAATATCATTACCATTCCTACTACCACTAACCTTATACATCTATATAAAAATGGAATCTGTGTGTGTGCGTACATCCATGCTTCTTTATCTTAATAGGACTTATCTCAATGTTTTTGTATGAAAATATTTCTTGCCTAAACTTGATTTCCATTATGGTTTTAAAAAAATAAATAAAAGATTGCAATAATTTCTTGGGACACATTTTTGCAGTTTAGTTGAGGACCCAACACTTTCTGTTCAAAATTTTATATGTAATCATTCCTGTTGACAATGTGATTTTTTTTGTTTTTTCATTACAAGTGTATAAACAAAGAATTGATGGAAAAATGTTTTAATTATTTAAGCTCTGACAGTTTAAAACAGATTCTTTACATTTTGAAGTTAGGAATGCACATGTTTTGTTGATCAATCCAATTGTGTATTAGTCACTTGTTTTGATTTTGCATCAGCAAATACATTGTAGTCCTTTGGATCAGCAAAAGGGCTGAAGAGTTTCTTAAAACAAATAGGAATCTTTCTCTTGCCTTTAAGTCCATATTGTCATATGATCTAATTGCTACTTATTACAATACTTTTTTGCATAAAACCTTCTTTATTATAATATTTAAATTTCTAAGATTTTCTAGCATTGTTAATTATTATGATTTTACTAGTATTTCTTTCATTTTATTTCTTTTGCTTGTTATAACTCAGCTTCTGCAAAAGTTAAGCAGATTTTTCTTTCTTTTTTAAATGCCACATCCTTTCAGAACATGGGCAATCATTAATCTCTATAGATTTCTTTATTATCTGTGAATTATCATACATTCATTCTAAGGAAAGATAGAGGAGTGGTTTCCTTCTCTTAGACTGGTTGTCTCCCCCCCCCCAAGATAAAAGAGGCCAGCTTACTCAGATATTTAATCTATAACTATGGGGAGAAGAAACATATTCATGCTTTTCCCTTTCGCATAAGCAAAAGTGAATGCAACAGACTAGGCCAGAATTTGATCTAGCACTGCCGATTCCACTTTCCATGCCAATATCCATTACACTACACTCAAATACTCAAATACAGATCAGGCTTACAGCCTAATCTGTATTTGAGTGTAGTGTAATCACATTGAAACTCTGGTTCCCATACAATCACTGAAGTTAAGCAACATGGAGCCTGGTCCATACTTAGATGGATAACCGGTTGGGAATACCAGATGCTGTAAGCTTGAATATGCAGGTGGTGTAATGGATAATGGCTCGGAATATGTTAATCGGAGAGCTGAGTTCCAATTCCTGTTGGGTTTGTTATATTCACTTATGCACAAATACCCTTGGGAAAGGTATGATCCTACCTCTCCTAACCTCAGACTTGTATCACTAATTCATTAAACAAAAACAAAAAAAAGTTTATAATCCAAAGATATTTTCTGGCTTTAAATAACCTGTAAAGGGTTGGTAAACCTTAAAAAATGAATGAATCAACAAATACAGATTAGAAATAAAGAAACTGTCAAATGTGTGTATGTGCTTTGCTTTACAAGATGCTTGGGTTGATTTCAATCTGTTATGTTTCATTTATTTTATATGTTGTGTCCCTTTGGGACATGGGCAACCATGGATCATTAGTGTTGTTTGTAGCTTAAAGCAACATTTTACTCTTTATCATCTCTCTTTGTCACCATTTTTTCACACAAACTCATTAGGTAAGTTACTCTCCATTTTCCAGTCTCTCCTGCTTTCAATATGTCCTGTGAGTGTCAAATTTTCCAAGACCTCTTTCCTTATAATGTGTCCAATAATTTCCAGCTGTCTCTTTCTGATTTTAAATATAAGTGTCCTTCTGTTCTCCAATTTTATTACATTTCCTTATTGCTCACATGTGATATTTTCATCATCCATCTGTAGAATTGCATTCTTGTTAGTTTCTGTCTACTTATCTTTGAATCAATCGATTATGAAAAGGTGCTAAAAATTTCATGGCCTGACCCACTTCCTAAAAATCTAACCAATTTTTTTTTTTTTTTAAATGGCTCTTGATTAAGTCAAGAAATTTTCAGCACTTCTTTAAATACACTGATGACAAATATTATTGCAACACTGTATATATGTGTTTCAATTTACTGAAGATTAAACATCCAGATACTATGCGCTAGATTACAGTTAATGGTCACACTTATATACTAATACATGCTCAGGTTCTACAATAAATGGTATATCAACAATACACTGGCCTTAATATTTTGATAAACTATATATCCATCTTAGCTATTAACACAGGTCCGTACTCTTGTATGCATGCATTCATATAGTGAATACCATCCTGTGATACATTATTCTTTGCTTCTTGCATTTGTTGGCACAATACAGCAAGAGTTGTTGTAGGTGGTTTAACCATATGAGTCAAGCATTGTTCCATCATGTCCCAAGCATGTTCAACAAAGGCAGTCATACTGGCCAGGGAAGTTATCAAACATTGTGCAGAGTATGTTGAGTTGTACAAACATCATGTTGATCGACATTACCTTGCTGTAAGAACACATCATTTTGCTATTGCAGGAATAGCTGTAGCATAGCTTGAACAATATTCTGGACCAACTTGGTGCTGTTCTGTATCACTTCCACAAACAGTGAAAGCAAGTAATTGTCGCTTATGGCATACCATAGATGGCCCTGTGTGTCATTTGCAAGCACATTCTGGAAGATGTTGCTCTCTAGGTTTATGTTGCCCAAATTAGGCAGAACCGGCTCTCATCATTGAACTCTACAATACACTATTTGATTTTTAGATGATAGTATTGTGTCAACGCTGTATTCACACTTTAAGGTGTTTTAGTATAAATAGAAATGTAATGTGACTAGAGGCACACTTAATAATATTCCTGCTGCAATTAAATGATAGTCAATGATCTGAATGGGCCCACTTTTCTATGTTGAGAATGCTATGCAGGCTGCCACTGTTTCCCTAACTGTGCATTGACCTTGGAGAGTATCTATATGACATGACTGTCTAAAACCGGGTCTACAAATGGAGTAACGTTCACTTGGTCACTGTTGCCAACATCAAAGCAATGCCAATGTGTCATGTCCAAGGTATGTACTACTGCTCTAAAATTATTATCCAGCCATTCAAAGGTTCATCAACTATTTCCCTCTCAGTAAACAATAATCTAATTGTTTACATCTGCTTGTATTGAGTACTTTCACTGCAGTGAAACCTATTGCAATACATATCACTGTATAAAGCTCAAACATAGACTGTGTGTTGATATGTGTGTTACTATGTCATCAGATGGTCAAAGAAAAAATTAAAAATCTTATCAAAATGTCTACAATTCCCTCACATGCACATGCTGTATTCAAATTTTAATTAGCTTTGACTTTAATAGAATAAAGGAGAACTAATGCAAGCAACAGAAAATTGTCTTAAAGAAGTTTGAAAGAAGATTGTTAAATAAACTGAAATTTCAAGGTAGAAAGTCGAGTTTTTGGTCAACTACATAATTGAAACAAAAAATGTCAACAATTTCAAAAAATTGGGAAATTTGCCAAAGAGAACTAAATGAAGAAACACGGGAATATTTGTCTTTTGTGAAAGCAGTAAATAGGATATTGCCAAACATCCCACAAAATGCAGGTTTGTCCTGCACTTTGAAGGAGGTGTTTCACATTATACTTTTTATCTCCCCACCCATGGTTACAAATATTTAGATTGCAACAAAATCTGTTTAGTAGAATAGCAGTAAAATTTGTGCATAGTAATAAAATTCAAAACCCTGTATAATGCCGTTGGTGATAAAATACAACTGTGATTCCCTTTGCCACTATCAGATTTTGTCATCTTTATATATATATATATATATATATATATATATATATATATAGTCATCCACAGACAGACTGTTTCGCTGTATCACAGCTCATCAGTGTGGCTAGACATATAGTTGCCTCTAGCTAGGATTGAAACCCAACTAAATTGGCATCAGTTGGGGATGCTACCACTAAGCCATTAGTGCACAGATTCTATCTATCATGCAGTTCACAGTCCTCACAGGAGTAGAGATTTACTCCTTATTTTGATTGGGTTTCTGGTTCCTTCTAAAGTCTTTTCTTCTTTTTTTTTTTCCTTTGCAGTAAGCCCTTGCATGTTAGTGACATTACTATCTTGCTTGGGATGAACTGATAAAAAACATCTATATATGGTCATTTCACCTCAAGCAAGGTGATAATGTCACTAAGATGTGGGGGGTTTCTGAGAGTGAAAGAAAATGAGAAAATGTTAGTGACAAGAACGGGCAATAATAGCACAGGATTCAGAAAGACAGAAGATGGTGATTGATGTTGCATTTAAATTTTTGAAGATTGTAGTTGACAAGATAGCAATAACCTGGATGAAGTTTCTAAAGGTGAGAAGTGCGAGAGAAGAAACTATTAGAATAGAACCTAAGGTTACATCTGTAAAATGATGCAACCTTTTTTTCCAATCTAGTACTATGCTTAAATTCATGAGGTTAAGGTACCAAAGAGGAAAGCCCATCAGAACAATTTCTATGAAAATATTTATAGGAAAGGAATTTATATTATGGTGGTGGGGAAAGTGACTGAATTTGAGAGTCCAGGTCAGGTCCAATAACATTGCAGATTCTTTGTATTTTATCAAGAATCTTGATATATATATATATATATAATTATTAGAGTGAATCAAATCAGTAGGCGTTTAAGTTTGCTCCTGTGGAGGGCTCTTAATTTGGCCTTCATTACAATAGGTAGGGATGTGTAGATGTAATAGTCAACAATAAATTACAGAATAACTCAAAATTGATCACTGAATTTAAGTATTCCGTTAATATGTAAGCTTACCTTTTAAAAGTTCACCAAAGAAGATGAGCGATTGACAGTTGTGTCACTTTAATTGAAAAAGTGTGACACATTGGCATTTATTATATATATTTATTATCCTATTTGGAACATCAGTTACTTAAGCAAGTAGTAAAAGGTATTATCTGTAAGATTTTTTTGGGATGAATTCTTGTTGGTATTAGTTTTAACTATACTTTTCAAACCTTTTCATTTTTTTTTCTTTTGTAAAATAGAGGCAATGTGTGAAGTGGACTAATATTTTGGTCACATTTTGAAGAACATGCAGAATGAAGTACATAATTTTAAATACACAAAATTTTATTCAAAAGCAAAAGAATTCTAATTTGAATAATCTTTCAAAATAAATCTAGATAGGAAGAACTGTTAATTTTTTTTAGGAATGGAGAATCTTTTTGGTTGTTCTTTGTCTTTTTCTATTTCTTCTATGTACCATGCCCCCTCAGCATGTGGGCAATCATAATTCTTCACAACTTCCTACCTTTTGTAACTCTTAGAATTGAGGCTTACAGCAACATCGCACTGAAACACTTGTTCCTGTACAATCACCGAAGTTAAGCAACATCGATCCTGGTCAGTACCTAGATGGGTGACTGCTTGAGAATACCAGGTGTTGTAAGTTTGGATGTGCAGGTGGTGTAATGAATAATGGCTCAGAATTGTTAATCAGAAAGCGGAGCTCCAATTCTGGCTGGGTTATATTTGTTTACATACAAATTCCCTTGAGAAAGGTATATGTTCACCTCTTCTCTTCCTTGCTATGGGTTAATTAGTAAGACTTGTATCACTAAATCATTATCTGCCAAAAAAAAATTCTTACAATTTAAAAATATTTTCTGGCTTTAAATAACCTGCAAAGAGTTGGTAAGCTGTAGAAAATCAATCAATCTTAGTAATGTTTATCTTTTCACCATTACTACCAATCCCTGTTCTGCTATCTATTTGCACATGCATGTTAAGTAGATTACTTTGTTTCCTTTTGTCCATGTGAGTGTCAAATTTTTTAAGCCCTCTTTCTTCATAATGTATCCTTATAAATTTCAACTGTTTCTTTCTGATTTTTTAAGTATATGTCCTTTTTGTTTCCATTTTCCTTAAAACTTCTTTGTTACATGTTCAGTCTATGGTATTCTCAGTATCCTTCTGTTGAGTAATATTTCTGTTGCCTTAAGTCTTTTCTTCATTTGTGTTCTTTGTTTGTCTTTGGTATTCATTATCTCGACCTTTGTATACTAGTAAGCCCTGAAATACTGGATCATCTTTATTTCATCAAAGTACTAAAATGATTATTCACTTGGTGCTTTATCAAAAACATAATAAACTTCTGCTTGTACAATTCACACAATGAAGTAGAAAAGTGTTTAAAGTTCAGCTTATCAATAATGCCTTTTGGAAAGGCATGAATCCACTTAATATGCATTCTTCTGTTGCCAGATATCTTGAAAACAAAATCTCTTACTCTGTCATGTTCTGATGGTTAAATGAAAATTGTGGATGAATGATTGTGGGCAAATCATTTCCCCCATAACTACCATACAATAAGTGACAAGTCTAAGAGATTATTATATCTCTGGCTAAACTTGATAGGAGTCATTAAAAAAGAAAAAATGGGTGTTGATAGGTAATAAATGATAAGTTTGTCTTGTTTAAGTAGTCAATCAGGTTCCTCTTAAATCATTGAATCATCTAGGGTTGAGATATTTCAAAAGATTAGAAATCAGTAATGGGGTTTGATTGTGAGTTGTATATATGGATGATAATATAATCTAGGAAATAAAAATGACAACTTTATCTCAATTGTGCTTCTGTATCTGCCTTACCTTATGTTGAACACATTGCTATGTACATGACTTCTAAATGGATTTTCTACAGTGAAATCATATTTATTTGCAGTGTGTATGACTGGAGCTAGTTTGAGCCATGTTAATACAATCCAAATAGTAGCACCAACTGCATCTTAAAAAGTAATGATTTATAATTCAAACTTATAAAAAAAAACAAAAAAAACACATTTGCAGTCGATTATTAGCACACTTCTCAAAGACCATAACTTTCATCAATAATAAAAAGGTAATTGATATTAAGCTTAGTTTGGAAGCAAGTTCTAATAATGAGGATTGACCTTTAAACTAAACTAACATTAATTTGGTTTACCAAACAAACTTGCTAACTCTTGCTCTCCGCTCAATGCCAGCATTATTATCACAAGTTGTTTATGTAAACTGAGATGTCATGAATAAGTTTTATTAAGCAAATATATCAACATTTTCATTCTCTTTAAAGATTATATATATTCTCTCTAATGACTGCTTTTATAGTGAGAGAGAAAAATTCTGTTGCTGGTTGGTGTGTCTATAAGAAATAAGCACAATTGTATTTTGTTACCAATTGCTCTTGAATCCAATATACATTGATAATGTTTCAGCTTTTATTATTGCTGTCTATTGACTTAATTGTTTCTTCATCATTTCACTCTTTTAGTGTTAATCATTTTCTCTACTGTAGTGGGGGGGGGGCGTGGAAATTGATGATAAAGCACAACCTTTTATAATTTTCTATTTAAAATCTGTTTCAGCAATTTTTAACACTCAGTTTTGTACCCTGCTTTAAAAATCAGGAACAGAGCTCCACACTAACTTTTTTCATCATCATCCTGAAAATGGTCATGAAAAGATTTTAACCTACTCCAAAAACAATATATTGTTTTTGACTTTGTTTGTAGCCTTATATAAACACTTTTAAAATGTTTAGGAAATAAATATTTATTTTGATCCTTGTTGTCTCCTTGCCCTGCAGCTACCACTTCACCACGTGGTCACTGCTTTCCTTGGATTTTATTGCTCTACAGACATATGTGCTATGAACAGAGATTTGCAGGAGGCAATTTAAAATTTTAAGTTAAAAATTATCAGAAAAAAAAATTTTTTTGCTTTGTTTATTAAGACAAAATTAGCTCTGATACTTGAATTATTACTGTTGTTAAATATTTAATTGCACTATAATCTTGTACTATACTTATCTGCCCTTGGCATTTTGTTATTGTAATTACCTCCCTTACTTGCATTCTTCAGTTGACGAATCGCACAGTCAAGGAATGTTTTGTTAATTAAATCCTTGTTAAGGAAAACCTGTCTTGTCAACTCATTTCAAATCTAATTTTCGATATTCATTGACCAAGCATACAGTACAGCTGATGATTGAAATTTATGAAATGTTTCTTTTAAAACAATCTCAGGAAAATTGATTTTTCAAGTTCAGTGGCAGTTATCACTCTTTCCAGTATTGATGGGGGTTTCCTTCCTAACCTTTTGTTTGAAGTAGTGTGGAACATCCACAGTTTAAGTCATTATTTTCTCTTAGTTACATGTGCTATTTATTTTAGTTGTTGCTGTTGTTGAAAGTCCTCAAGTGATGTGACTTCTGTTATTTAGTACAATTCTTTGTTTCTGATTCTGTTGTGCCAGTTTCAAAATTTCTAAAAAGTGTGGTCATTTCCAAGACCCATGGGCTTTACTTGCACAAAGCCATTTTTAACCCTTGATCTGAGAATGAGGTTGTATACAGCTGACAGTTTAGATATTTCTGAATGGGTTTGGCACTATGCCTGAGATCCATATGAAAGTCTCAATTTGATGAGGCTTTTTAAGAACATGACTAGTTTTTAGTTTAATGTTTTGGTTTTATAGCAGTTTGCAGTGTTGTGTGAAACTATGTGTAACAGTGCTATGAAATAGATGAAACTACCTCTAACGGTGCCTGTTCTATCTTCAATTTCATTATCTCCTGTACTAAATTTGTTGTAACTGTTCATACACCAAGGTATTTGAAGTGTTTAGTATTTACACACACAGCTATATATATATATATATATATATATATATATATATATATATATATATTCAAACAGCAGTAAAATGAACAGTAAGAAGAATTTTCAGAAATACATATACACATCCACAGGCAATTTAACCCTTGAAGATGGTCTCAGATGTGACTGAAAGTACTTGGGGAAGGTAAAATTATTTGAAAGAAAAATGTTGGTATTTTCTTAATCAATTTTCTATGGCTACCAAGAAAGTGATTTGTGGACTTGAAGGGATTAAAACAAAAATAAACATAGTATGTCTAAATTATTTAATGAAACCTGCTTGCCTGTTTGAATGAAAATATGCTGCCTAATAATATATATATATATATATATATATATATATATATATATATATATATATATATATATATATATAGAATGATTTATAAATGGTTTTATTAAACTATTATTATCAGTAGTATAATGGGAGGAATTAATAAAAGCTGTCAAAAATGAAATGTTAAATTGATTTTTGATTTGGGCTCTGAACTAATTTATTTGGAATTTCTTACAGGGTCAGCGGCAACACTTCTTTTGATCACCATCCAGTACTAAGCAACACATTCCCTGGAGGAGTAACAAACAAGCTAATTCAAAATGGCAATATACAAACAGACAAAGCACTTTGTAGTACGATGCCTGGAAGTTCAGCCTCTAATAGTGATGACACAGGCCAACCTTACAACCCTCAGCAAGATCTTCAACAACAGCAACAGCCCATGTATTACCCACAGTACCATTATCTTTACCCTGCAGATGAAAATAGTACCTCCGATGGTCACACAGTGGCTAACTACGATGGTCACAACCATGCAATATATCCAGCCATGTCTGGAAATACCCATGCTGGACATCATTATGGTGTTGTCCAGGGTGGGGTACTGCATGAAACTGGACATAACAGAGCTGAAAATGACCAATGGATATCACCAGGCAGTGGTGGCGGTTACTACCAAGAGAATTTCAGACAAGATCACTTGCCGGCTGGTGCTGGAGGTGATTATTATTCTCAGATCCCAAATTCTGTATCATACGATACCCAGTCTTTTGTTCCAGGTCATATGCAACCTTATCAAAGTAATGGCACAGGTAAGCATTATTCAATCTAGAAGTTCTTTGGAAGCAGTGTTATCATCATTTACTTTAATTAAAAGTTATTTACTTAGCTGAACTTAGGATGGCACAAAGTCATCATAGTAATTTTGACCAGTGAAGATTGGATTCATTATATAATTGCAAATTAATAGAACCATTTCTCTGTCCAGTGTAATGTATCTTTTTATTTATATATGTGCATGATTGCGGTTATTTGTTTATATATATATATATATATATATATATATATATATAATTGTAACATTACAACATTTTCAATTTCTGCCTGATGATTGCCATGTGCATGAAACTCAGAGTTGCACCAAATGGTAAAGAACAAATGTATATCTATTAAAAGTATAAATTTTAGCTCTGGTATTTTATATCAAGCACTGTTTTGATTTATTAACACCAGGACTGTGTGCTATTTTTATATATATATATATATATATATATATATATATATTTATAAATTTATGAATCATTCATACAATAAAACAAATAGAGGTTAATGATTTAAATGGCGAGAATACATCTCGCAAACAATATCAAAAAGATACACCAACTCGAACCTGTATATGAATGATATGATCCCCTGTTTATAAATTCCAGTTGCATAAGGTCTTTTTAATTTTTACAACTGGAATTTATAAACAGGGATAATATCATATATAGGTTTGGGGTTGGTGTATCTTATTTATATTGTTTTGAGATGTATTCTCGCCATTTAAATTATTAAATTATAATTACACCTATAATTTTAATAAATATAATATATATATATAAATATATATATATATATATATATATATATATATATATATATATATATATAATTTATTTTTTTATTACTATAAATATTATTTTAGTGGGTACACATGTTTGAGTTGGTATCCCTGTTTTTAATTTTATTAAACGCTGAAATTAATAACAATTGGCTTAAATTAGCTAAATAAGTGGTTTGACTAATGGAAAAAAGGCATGTAAGTTCAATTCCTGTTAAAGGCACAATTTTTCTTTAGTAGGAATTCTCAACGGACTTCTCAAATTTAGGCTGGTTGTTATTAATTACAATGTTTAATAAAATTAAAAAAAAAACAGATAGCAACTCAAACATGTGTACCTACTAAAAATAATGTTTATAGAAAATAAATAATGTTGGATAAATAAATCCTTTAAAAATATATAAATAAAAGTGGACTCAGGTCAGCACCAGATGGTGACAGTCTTTTTCATATTTGAATGCAATCTTCAGGTCTAAAGACTGTGTTCAAGCATGAAACTGACTGTTGCTGCTTGGTGTTGACTTCAGTGTCTACTTTTATATTTACGTATAATTTATTTCAGATATTGAGCACTTTTACCTATATATATATATATATATATAATTATTGGTAATCTGTATAGAATTACCAAGAGGATCCATTGAGACCTCTATGTCAAAGACAGAACAGTAATTATTATATAATGAAAAACAAACACTTAAAATGCCATAGGTGATATTTATTTCATTGAAATCAATAAAAAACAGCTTCAAAACTTCAGGTCTGTAAACCGAATGTAAATGAAAAAATTCACTCCAGGTTTAAAATTTAGAATAGTGATTTCATATTGAAAGAGTGAGGGGAAAGAAAGATGTAATTTCATTATTGTGTAGGAAGTGAGGGAAGGAAATGATGTGTATACATGAATTGACAGTGTGACCAAAAGAGTTAATACAACTGAGACAAACTCTTTTGGTCTCACTGCCAATTCATGTATACACACCCTTTCCTTCCCCCCTCCCACCTTACTACATGATAATAAAGTCACATCTTTCTTTCCCCCACTCTCTCAATATGAAATCACTGTTCTAAATTTTAAATCTGCAGTGAATTTTTCCATTTCCATTTGGTTTACAGATTTGAAGCCACTTTTTATCGACTTCAAGGAAATAAATATCACCTATGGTATTTTAAGTGTTTGTTTTTCATATATAATGTTTCTTCTATGTGCTATTTGCCTTCAGGAGACATGAGCATTCATGGCTCTCTCCAACTTCTTGTCCTTTGTAGCTCTTAGCAGTGTTTGTCTTTTTGCTATCCTTCCTAATCTGTGTTCATTCAACCATTTATACATGCTAGTTAGGTAGGTTATTCACTGTTATTCTCTATCCCTTTTGCCTTCAATATGTGCTCATACAAATGAGTGTTAAATTTTCCAAACTCTCTTTCCTCATTATGTGCCCTATTAATTTCAGGGGTCTCTTTCTGATTCTAATCATCTGTTCTTTTTGTTTCCATTTTCTCTAAAACTTCAGTCCATGATATTCTCAGCATCCTTCTGTAGAACCACATTCCTGATGCCTCTCTGATGCTCTTCTTCATCTGTGAGATAGTCCAGTATTCACTGCCACATAGGTGGACTGATATTATATAAGTCCAGTACTATTTTCTCTGTTTCTAATGAAATTTTCTTGATTCTTATTACTTTGCTTAACTTTGGGAGGCAACGTTTGCTGTGAGGAATAATTAAACCATTGTAAAAAAACAACAAAAAAAGACAAAACAAAAAAAAAACAGTGCTTAATGTTAGAAAAACTTTACTGTATATATTTGAAAGAATAAGTTAATTCGTTGATTAAATAGACAGGTTTTTCTGCTTATTCTAACTGTTGATTTTTTTTTTTCTCTTTTATCACAGATGTGAACTCCCATTCTCATCAGCACAGATCTCCACCAAATGAAAATTGTTCTGTCCCCACCTCTGTGGGAATGGAAATCTCCCACCAACAGACAAATGGTTACACCCTACCCGTAGAGTCTGAACATCCAGTCACGTCCAACTGGGACCAGCTAAATGGATACAAAGTCCAATATCGAAAACCTACAGAGTCTGTCATGAGTCCCCAAAAGATGGAATGTACACATAGTGTCTCTAGTAGTAGTGAATCAAGTCCCAAAAAATCAGAAAAGGATTTCATTCGAATAGGTACAAATGTTTGCTTGATTTACTGTTTTTTTATTTTTATACTATTTTTTTTTTTTTTTTTTTTTTTTTTGAGAGTATTATGGATTTTACATATACAAATGAGGAACAATTAATATATGAAATGACATAAACCCCAAAAGTGGACAGACTTTATGACAGCCTAATGTGTTCATGAGTGCATAGACAAAGGCTAAGTCGGCAGCTGGCTCATTGTGTCTGTGTGTGTGTGTGTATGCATGTGTAGATCAAACATTCTTCTGAAATTGTTTTGAACCTTGAGAAGTAGTCAGCTTCTATTTTCATATCTGTAAGGGAGGTGCAAAATCTAATTTCACATAGAGATGTAAACTTTTTGAATACAAGTTATTTTCATTAGTTAGAAAATAACTTCACACTGGCTTGCAAAAATCTTTTTCTTGAATTTATGGGAGTGGTGAAGGGAGTATTATTATTTTCTATGTGGTCCAAAAATAACTCTTAGTAGGTCTACAACTATGTCTGTAAGTATATTGGCAGTATTTGTTGTTTATCAAGAAAACCTTTTGATAAAATTTTATTGGTTGAGAAATATAGAGAGAATTTAATTCCTATAGTATACAACAATTAATGGATTAATTATTAATCCAACATTTTTAGTACTTCAAAAGCTATTATAGTGGATACTTCATATTTTAAATAGACGCCCCATTTTTATTTATACATACATACAGTAGCGAGCATAAAGATCAGAACAATGTTAAGAAAATGTCTAAATATGAAATATCTTTTTATTTTAAAGCTTCATAGAACATTTTATCAAAGAAAAATAAGGATATAAAGGTAAATTATACAAATCCAAAATATAAAGCTCAATAAACTTATTTTGATAAAGTTATAAGAATAATTATATAACATTTGAAAAAAATAGATGATCAAAAACATTAGAACGATTAACAAATTCATACTATTATATTGGATGCATCATATCCAAATGAAAATAGCATTCATAATTCATTAGTACTTGATGTGTAAATCTTTACTTTCAATAACAGCTTGACATCTTTTGCTATATGAGTGAATTAATGTCTTGCATTCATTAACGGATATTTTCTCCCATTCTCCTTTCAAGTTAATCCATAGTTCTTCGATGTTTGTTGGATACTTTTCCTTAGCTCTTTCATTTAGTAACTTCCAAACATTCTCAATAGGATTTATGTCTGGGCTTTGAGCAGGCCACTCCATAACAGTAACATCCTCCTCAGAAAGAAATGTCTTAACAGATTTTGCTGCGTGACATGGCGCGTTATCTTGCATAACTGGTTGATTAATTGCAGTTCTCAAATTAGGTACATGTTTCTTCAATATCTCTTTGTATACAGTTGCGTTAATTGTACCGTGTAGCCTAACTAGAGGTCCCGTACCAGCAGATGAAATCATGCCAAACACCATCACACTTCCTCCTTCAAATTTAGCGCTGCTTTTAGTGCACTGAGGCAAATATCTTTCCTTAAGACTGCGTCGAACAAACCTTCTCCCATCACAACTGAACAGGTTAAAGTTTGACTCATTGCTGAAATGAACACAATCTCACTGTTCTTCTGTCCATATGATGTGTTCAGTGGCAAATTTCACTTGGCTCATTTGATTCTTTTTTATAAATGCAAGGCTTTGTAAAGGCTACTCAACTGTTCAGATTTATTTCATTAAGTCTTCAGGAAATAGTGTGCCTTGATATTTTAATGCCAAGGTTAGGATTAGCTCTTTTAGAGATAGTGGTTGCTGTTGCAAATTGATCCTTTTTTGATTCATTACCAATCCATCTGTCTTCCCTTGCAGTAGTTTTCCTAGGCCTGCCAGGTGGTTTCTTGGCTTCACTTGACCCAGTTTCAAGTTTTCTTAAAATACTATGAATAACACTTTTAGATTTCCCCATACTCTTTGAAATATCCCCAATTGAGAGTCTATCTTCATTATGCAACTTGACTATCAATTTTCTAAGTTCTAATGACGTCACAGATTTTTTCGCTATGTTTACAATGCAAGAGCCAGTAAAGAGCTGGTGTAATTTAGTAAGATTTTATATTCTTACCATAAAAAAATTTTCAATAATGCAAAATAATTATTTTATGGATTTATTTAATCGTTCTGACGTTTTTGATCATCTATTTTTTTTTAATGTTTTATAATTATTCTTATAACTTTATCAAAATAAGTTTATTGAGCTTTATATGTTGGAATTATATAATTTACCTTTATATCCTTACTTTTCCTTGATAAAATGTTCTTTGAAGCTTTAAAATAAAAAGTTATTTCATATTTAGACTTTTTCTTAACATCGTTCTGATCTTTAGGCTCGCTACTATATATATATATATATATATATATATATATATATATATATATATATATATATTTATATGTACTTGGATATGTATTGATTATGGGTGTGTCAAGTTGAAATTCTAACTGAGGCCATTGCATTTGCTTTTGCACAAATACTTTTGCAAAAGTATGAATCTATCTCTTTCTCTTATAGCTATTTTCTATTTGCTATCATTTTTTTTTTTTTGCTTTGCCCTATTGAAGAGTGGTACACTTGAAGAATGCCATAGAATAGAAGCTGTAACAAGAAAAATTTTAAAAAAATCAGTTGTCTGAAAATCTCTTTGAATGATAATGATTCTTCTCAAAATAACAGACTGTGTTTTACTGTTTAATCCATAAAAGCATATTGTTCCGTTTTGGGGATGGTGGGCATTACGTGGTTGCAGGTAGAATCCTCTAATTAATAACTGTTTTTTTTTTTTTTTTTAAAATTAGTGCTGGAGTTTTATTTTAATTTTTCTAATTTATACTGGGTTCTTTTAGTAACTGCTGGATTGTAATTTTTATAATTAGTAGTGGATGCTTTTCATATAGAATTATATAAAGCTATATAAATTTTTATAAAGTTATAATTATGTCTTAATTATTAGAAATCTATAATACTAGATTTTTTATTTTTACAATTGATGTAGGATTTTAAAATGGGCATTAATGTGTTAATGTTGAGTTGATATTTTTCTCTTTTTTTTTCTTTTAAAGGTGGTAGCTCTGAACAAAAGGGCTTAGCACAGCTGCAGATCTTGTATAAAGCTCGTGGTCGCAAACTTGATGAATTGACTGAAGAATTGACATCAGTTAAACAGGACAGTGCCAGAGAAATTCGTCTTTTGCAGCACAAGGTTAGCTCTACTGAAAGTGAGTGTGAAGCAGTTACGAACAACCTAAAACAGTGCCAAGACATGCTGCGGGAAGCAAAGTCTGACAACACCCAATTGCTGAGCCGCATGGAGACTTCTGAGGCCCTTATCCAGGCGCTGAGTAACAGTAAGGAGGAGCTTGTTAGCAAACTGGTTGCAGCAGAAGCTGCTGTAGAGTCTTTAAACCATCAATTGAAAGAGCTGGGTAAAAGTGAAACGCTTGAACGGGCCCGACAACAACATGACAATGTGGTGGAAAGTCTTCAGTTGCGGCACCAAAGGGAAGTTGTGATGCTTAAGGAGGAGATTGATACGTTGACGAAAACTGCAAATAGCAGTAAAGAAGAAATGGCACTACTGAAAAGACAACTGTCTGAGGCTCTCAAAAATGTGGACAACGCCCACATAAGCAAGGCGGAAACTATCAACCGGTTGACACGTAGCCTGGAAGAAAGCCAGCGGCAAAACCAGTACCTTCTTCAGAATTCGCAATCATCTTTGTCCAGCCAGCAGATAGCAGAATTACAGAATCGGCTCCAGCAGGCAGAATCTTCCAAGATTACTCTCGAAGAGAAGTGTGAAAGTCTTGGTGACCAAGTAAAGTCTCTAAGTCAGCAGCTGTCTATGTTTGAGTCTGCTTCAAAGTTGGGGCTCTTTGGCCAGGAAGAAAACAGGCATTCTAGTTGTGACCCTGAAGATTCCTTTTTAGAACTTGGTATTAAGAAGAAATTGAATTTCACTACTCCTGACACAACTGTCAGCGAGGACTCAGGTGTGGATACTCAGTTGCAGGGATTGAAGCATGAACTCCAGCGATGCTTGACAAACAACCGTGAAAAACAAATATGTATTGAGCAGTTGAAGGACTCACTCAAGGTCTGTCAGAAAGAGGCAAACAGCTGGCAGTCTGAATGTGCCAAAACTGAAACAGTTGTGCAAGAGTTAAAGAAAAAATTGGCTAAGTTTGAACAGGTAGAGAATGGATTGGGTACTGGTCAAAACGGTATCACCGCTCAGAAAAGTATTAAAACTTTGGAGGAAGAAGCTTCCCGGTTGAAGAAAGACAAGGAGGGTTTTGCTGAAACCCTACGACAGTCAAAAGAAAAAGAAATGCAGTTAGAATCTCGGAACAAGGAATTAGAAGAAGAGCTTAAGAAAGTCTTGGAAGAGCATGCAGCTGATAAAGCAAATGCACTGGAACACTGTAAAAAAACTTATGAAACATTTCAAGACGATGTGAAAGAGAGACTGAAGCTGGATTTGCAATTGGAACATGATGCCAGAGAAGCGTCACTCATTGCAGACTATGAAGAGAAGGTAAGTGGATTGAAGACCAAGCTAGAAGCCACATTGCAACGAGAAGATAATTTAAAAGAGATGTATGTCTGTGTGTGTCAGGAGAAGAGCCAGCTGGAGGATAACCTGATCCAAGATTACAGGAAGAAACTTGAGGCTGAAATTGATCGTTTAAAGTCTGAGTATAAAAGGGACATTGCCGAGATGAAAGATGTTGAAATTCAGTGTGAGTCTTCTGAAGATGATCAAGCTGAAAATGAAACTACAGAAGCTAATATCCATAGCGACATGTTTGAACGTCTTATGGCCCAAGCTCGAGAAGATGTTGCAATGGAAAGAGCGCAAGAACTAGCTGCTTTGCGCCAAGAAATAGTAGAGTCATTCGAAGCAAGAAATAGTCAGGAGCTGCTGGAAGATGCAGGGAAAGTTCAACGAGAAGTTGAGCCAGAAGCCAAAGAAAACTTTGATCAAGAGGTGATCATTTCCAATGAAGAGGATCAACTGAATCAGATAGAGAAGAAAACACTGCATGAAAGGATTAAAACTGAACTTCGTGCTCAGTTTGAAACTGAGAAGCAAGAAGAGTGGAAAGTGCGAGAATATGAATTGAAAAAAAACTACCTTGAAGAAATAGAGCAGCTACAAGCCGAAATTACTCAAAAGTCATCTGAGGTTCAAGTAACTGGTTTGGGAATGCCTCTCTCGCCACAGTCTCTTGAAGGACGTCGACTTGATGAGAAACAGCGTGTGAAGGCAGCTGTGGATGCAGCCAAGGTGGAATGGCAGTTGCTTCATAAAGCAAAGCTGGAGATGGAAGTGAAAAGGAGACTCAACCTAGAAAGAGAGCAATGGCAGAAGGAGAAGACTTTGTCTGCCGAAAAAGACTTGGAGAAGCAGTTATCAACTGAGAAGGTAAAGTGGCAGAAGTTGGCTAAAGAAGAGCAGAAAAATGTGGTTGCTGCTGCTGTTGAAACTGCACGTGAAGAATGGCTGAAGAGCCAGCAAGAGGAACACAAGAAGATGTCCATGACATTGGCAGTGGAGAGAGCAGAGATGAAAAAACAGCAAAAGGTATCTCTCTACTTTTTCTCTTTTATTCTTTGTTTATTTTTCATGCAGTTTTTGTTTTTTTGTAAGACTTTAAAATGAAAACATTCATTCATTCATGATATTCAATCCATTTTGTTATTGGCTTCAGTTCTGCTGATGGTTGATGAAACCAGTATATGAGTAGCATATCTTGCCTTATTGACTTAGAGAAGGTTTGAGATATTAGATGATGATGGCTTTCTTGGGAATCTTGATTATTTTGGATTGCTCATTAGTAGTTCTGCATTATTTACATGCAAACTATTATCCTTGTCTTTTTTTTTGTTATCACAATGTTTTGGTCATTGTGCTCTCATGTCTTCATCAGGTGCTTGTTGTTCTGGATAACCTTCAGGGAATTTTGAAATGAACTCTTTATTTAATCTATGGGGGTAAATTGTTCTTATTCCACTGACCTAAGGGATATCTTGTCTAGTTCTTATTTAGTACTGTTTAATTACTTGCCTTGTTTCTGCGGAATCCAATGTGACTGGCCCAGTAATTGAACTTAAAAATTTCTATGTCACCAAATGTCAAAGATGAGGACAATCGTCCACATGTAAATAACATAAATAATGATACCTCCTCATGCCAGAAATTCATACAGACTAGTTCTGCATTTTTTTTCTCAAATGGGGAAATAGCCTGAAAAACTGTTTCTATATTTTCCTGTCATATGCTTGTCTGAGTTGATCACACAAGATTTGGGAGATCTTCTTTAAGGAGTCTTTATTTTTCTTCTATGGTGCTTCCCATTCTTGTTTTGCTTTGAAAAGTTAACATCTGTTAGCTGCTACCATCTTGGTATGTATAAAAGTAGGCAGAGGTGAAATTAGGACTAGAATCAAAATGGTAGGCATAGGTGCCATTAGGAGTATAATGAAAATGGTAGACATAGCTACAGTTTGAACTAGAATCAAAATGGTAATCATAGGTGCAGTTTCGACTAGAAACAAAATGGTAGGCATAGGTGCAATTTGAACTAGAATCAAAATGATAGGCGTAGCTGCAGTTAGGAATAGTCAAAATGATAGCCACGGCGGCAGTTAGGAATAGAGTCAAAATGATAGCCACAGCTGCAGTTAGGACTAGAGTCAAAATGACAGCCACAGCTGCAGTTAGGACTAGAGTCAAGATGACAGCCACAGCTGCAGTTAGGACTAGAGTCAAGATGACAGCCACAGCTGCAGTTAGGACTAGAATCAAAATGCTAGGCATAGGTGCAATTATCACTTGTGCCAAAAAGGTAGGCAGTTAGGACCAAAATCAAAATGGTGGGCATAAGTGCAGTCAGGGCGAGTGTAAAAAGTTATGCATAATTGTTGTTTGGGCTAGCATAAAAAAGGTAGTCTTGGGTGCAGTTTACACCTGATCATGGCAGATATCAGAAAAATAAACGTGTTTTGGGAAAGTGCCAGTAATCTGATACACATCTGTATAAATAAATGCAAATGTCAGTGTGTCACACTTTCTCAACTTTACTCCTAGAGGCTGTAGCCCAACATATCCTAGCATTTTGGAATCAGGTTGACTCCGTGAGCAAATTAAAAACATTCTGGGTCAGGTCTGGACCTGCAATCCTGAAATTTTGGATTTCTAAGTTTTTATTACTGTGATCATTTTCGGACGAGAATTTTTTTTTTTTAACGTGATTTTTTTGTGACAAATTTTTTGTATGATAACAATTTTTATAAGTTGGAAATAAATTTGGGAATAATTGAAATTAATTGTGAAATCCAGTGAAAGTCACCGATGAAATAAAAATAATTGTTTGTATGGAAAGTAAGAACCTGCGTGCATCAAATTGTCTTTAAATTGAGTGGCAGCAGAAGAATTATCATTGAAGTTTTAGAAGGTAAGCTTAAATATTAATGCAATACTTAAATGCATTGATCAGTTTTTAGTTCTCTAATAGTTTATAGTTGCCTATCATATGTAGTAGCAGTATGCTTCGCAAAAAGAAATCTCCACCAACTGAGGACCAGATTGCGATCAAAAGAGTCAAGGCTGCAGCAAGGAAAAGAAATACCTATGCAAATGAAAACTCAGATCAAATGGCAGCCAGAAGAGCTTCCAATGCTGAGAATATGCAAAGACTTTGGGACTCTCAAACTCCTGAACAAAATGAAAGCCCAATCAAGAGCCCTCCGCAGGAGCTAGCTTAAATGCCACCTGATAGGGCAGCTTTTAAGCTATTCATTAATAATTGATAGGCATGAAAGAAAATATAAAAATAATCTAATTATCTGAAGTTTCTGAATATATGAAAAATATCTTTAATTCGTATCCTAAATATACAAGTAAGGTTTAAAGTTTCTGACTCCCTGACAAAAGAAAATATGGTTATCAATACTTATTTAAAATTATGTTGACATTTGCTTCCTATTCTTGACAATTCATGTTGTCTGTAAATAAAAATTTTTGGAATCTATTTCTTCATGAGAATAATTTTTGCTTCCTTATTGTTTGTGAATATTGATTTTTGGAAACAACTACTTTAGAAAAGCACCTTTTTTTTTTTTTTTTTTAAACTATTGCTGTCATTATAATTTTTTTTTTTTTTTTTTGTTAATAATGCTGTTATTATATATTTTTTCCTTTTTGCAGGAACTACTGCAGCAACTGATGTGTCAGTTGCAGTCACAATATTGGATGTGTATTCAGGCTGTGAAAAATGATGTCACGAAGTATATGTCGTCGAGTAACATTCGACTGTGTCATTTGGTGTGTGGAACAAGCATACGCCCTGCCCTTAATGCTGGTGTCCAATCACCATTTCAACCAGCAGGTAAAAATGGGTGGAAAGAACAAACTATGAATCTCAGGTAGATAATTTTTAATTCTTTCTTTTTATATTACTTATAATGATTATCAAGTTTGTGCATAGTGCAACCTCGTGTATAATATGGCTATCCATTTTTGTAAGCAAAATGTATGAATAATTTTCTTTTTCATATATAATGCAGTCCCCACTGTACCATGCTTGAAAGGCGAAACATGTTTAGTTTTTGCATGGCATCATCTTACTGTTAAGAGGATTTTAGAAAACAGAGTAAACCTTTGATTGAATGTCTTTTTGGTATTTAATGGTGATCATACCAAGAAGAAGCATTTATGATGCATGAGAAATTAATTCTAGTAAGTCATACCAGTTAAGAAGAAGCAGTTATATATACAAGTTGGTTGTTTATGAGAGAGTTATTTTAAGGTGAGAAGATTGTACATAAGATAGAGTATGGGTAAAATGTTTGTGACACCCTTGCATTTCTTTAAAAAGCCTTCATTTTTGTATTTTTTTAAGTAAAAGATAAAATTGCAGTAACTTGCTTTTATTTTTCATTCTTTCTCCCAGCACATCTTAGTAGCAAAATGTTCAAATTTGGATTCATCTGTCCGCAATACATTTAGCTAAATAGCTGAATATTTTGTATGAGAAACATTTTTTTTTTTTTCACAAGTAACTTGTCAGTAGACTTTTCAGCTAAGTTAGATGTTAACACAGGCTCTGAATATTAACTCAGCACTGATTAATGTTGTAAACAAAACATATGTAACTGTCTGTTTAAAGAAAAAAAAAAGATTGTCATTAATTACAACAGTATTTTCATAGATTTTTTTTTTTAATTTTGAAGTAATTTGCACAAAATGTCAAAATCAAAGCAGCTAAGCATTGAGGTGAGGACACAAATGGAAATTTTATCGAAAGAAGGCTACTCTCAAAGACAAATTCCCAAGAAGTTGAAGATTTCTAGACATGGGGTTGAATATTCATTACAAGGGTAGTTAGAAACTGGCACATATGTTGACAGAAAACAATTTGGAGCACCAAAAGTGGCAACTGCTGCTGAAGATAAGCACTTGATTATTGAGAGCAAAAGAAATAGAAGGAAAACTACTTCAGAGTTGACAGCTGAAATTAATTCCTCTCATCAGCAGCCTACTGTGAAAAATCAACTTAGAGGCTCAGGGTGTGCGTAACAATCAAGAAATTTATGTTATAGAATGTGAATAAGCAGAAAAGACTTATGGACATTAAAAGAGTGGCAAAATGTATTGTGGACAGACAAATCCAAATTTGAACTTCATGGTAGTAAGGGGAGAATGTATGTGAGAAAAAAGCCAAGGGAAAGACTGAATGTGTGGTCCCAACAGTTAATGATAATAGTGGTTCTGTTATGTTGTGGGTTGTTTTGGGGGAGAGAGAGGACTGGAGATTTTTTTAATTTCAGTCAAGGGAATCGGGTAAAAAGAACAATATTATTCAATTTTGCAAAGATTATTCTATACCATCTGGTTTATGTATAAGTGGAAAAAAAATTCACCTTTCAACAAGACATTGATCCAAAACACTCTTCTAAATTATGTCTAAATTACTTCAAGTCAAAATAAAAAGGAAAAAAAAATTGGAAATTATGACTTGGCCACCTCAACCTCCTGAGCTCTCTTCCATTGAATTAGTATGGGATGAATTGGATAGGAGAGTTTGAAGAGAATACCCAAAGAGTGAGAGTGAGCTTTTTCAGTGTTTAAAGAATGCTGCCATCTACTGTTTTTCAAAAACTGGTGGAAAGAATGCCAAGAATTTGTAAAGCAGTAATTAAGGTCAGTGGTGGTTTTATTGAGAAAAACAAAATATGATGCCCTTGTATGATAATTGTTTTTATAGTTATTTTTTTTATCAAAATAAAAGGAAGTAGACTGTAGTTATTGTAATTTTATCTTTTACTTTAAAAAATACAAAAATATCTCATTTTAAGTTTTGTTTTTTGTTTTTTTTTAAATGTTGGGTGGACTCAAACTTTTTGACTGTAATGTGGGTTGGTTAATTTAATGACATATCAACATAGATTTCTATCTTCCCTTCTTTCTTTCATTTTCTCGCTGAAACCATGTAGTGTCTTTGATATGTCTTTTCTGTCTTTCAATGCTATCAAAACGGAATAGTCCATTATTTATGAGGTATTGGCAGGTCATAATGTACATATGTGCTAACTAAGAAAGGGACAAGCAAAATTATAATAAGATTGTTGACCAGTATTTATTTTCATCTTATTTGCTTT